TCGCTTGCAAATCTTCGGATATCGTCACCGCTAAAACCCTCAGTGATTTCAGCAATCCAAATTCTTGATACATCAGCTTGCATAGTAGTATGCTTAAAAAGGTAACCTTATATCCGCTAGTCTTTGCAAAACAGCAGACTCACCATAAGACGCTGATTTAACATTGCAATTCTTGCCTCGACGTCAGGTAAACCAATGTAGATCTTTTTTTCAAACCTGCAATGAAGCTTCAAGAGGAAAAAGCAGCGATTTTGGAGTGACCTCCTCATGAAGGCAGGGTCTAAATCCCAAGGGCAATTTGTTGCACAAATCAAAACCACGTTCGATGTTGTGTAGAGTCGTTGCAATTGTACGAGAAGCTCTGTCTGAACATAGATAAGCAGTGCGCAAGCCAAATGTGTTTGTGAGTCAAACTAACCTTGACTCTTCGATTAGCATCATCTTCACTTGAGCACCGAGTTCTGCACAGACTATCAACTTCATCTATGAAAATTACAGCTGCTGTAATAACACGCTGACAGTGCCTCAAAATGACTATATCCAAAAGTCAGACTTTTTGTCTGGGCGATGGCGTGATCGAAAAGTTCTCGAATGAGTTTCTCTGACTGCCCACTCCATGTTGAGATTAAGTCGGAGGAGGAAACCTTGAACGCTATGACAAACTCTGATATATATTCATTGGATAACGTACCTGATACAGAAGGGAACCTGTTTCTTTGACAATAGCTTGCGAAAGTATTGATTTCCCTGAAATAAAATCATTCGTGTTAAAGAGATCTATGCCTTTCGCACACTTTTTGGAGATTCAATAAGGTGATCTTGATTTTGTCTACAAGGCTTCGCGTGAATATAGATGAAAAGTGATGTAATATCTGCCCCAGGACAAAGGCGGTCGCCCTTTAATGTGCGCGTATGATCGCTTACCGAGCGTGCACGCACCCCATGGTTTGAAACTGCCCGCGCGCCGCGTACGCGTCGCCATTTCATGCTTCTAATCTATTCGGGCGACCGCCTTCATCCTGGGGCAGCTCTTACTTCAAATATGCCTAGTGATGAAAGTTGAGAACACAAGAGGAGAAAAGCTGATATTATCTGCTCATAGGGCTTCTTTTGCAGATTATCTCCACAAAAGCGGGAGTACCTGGTATTTGAAAGCAGTTCCGGATTCCGAGTAGCTATAATCGCACCATAAGCTCTCTGGTTCAGATACCGATGACAGCTTGTGCTGCGAGTATAGTGCTCTCGAATCGAACGGATTCTGATTACTTACTTAGAGGGCAAGCAAGTATTCAGAACCCGTCAAACTCTGTGGAAAACCAATACACAAATCTGTAAGTAACTAACGCATCTGCTCACCTGTGCCAGGAGGTCCATAAAGAAGGACAGCTTTCCAAGGTTTCAAATCAGAAGATTCAAACCACTCAGGATATTGAACTGGATCTACTAGAGCCTCGAATAACGCTGACTTGGCCTGAAGATTTCAGAATTGATCCCTGGTTCATAAGTTCAGTTATCAAAGAAAGGATGAAATCTATGCAGCTTACCTCAGCTAGTCCAGCAATATCACTAAATTTTGGGAGATCATCAGTGTTGCTCAAAATCGTGGACTCAATCGCTTGCCTGAATCTGGCAAACCTACATAAATTCTAGGTCTGAGAAAACATGCTTACCTTCGGCTGGCTGCAAAATTATCCAATACCTCCTCTTTCCTGCAGCTGGGGTTGGCAACCTCGGCATACGGAGACATCCTAAAATATTCGTGGTACAGTAGCGAAATCATCACGTAAGAGCAGTCTATAAGTCAATCGCTTCACTTGCAAATGTTCTCAGTCATACACATTGCTCTGTGTCGAATTCGCGGATACATCCTCTGGACATTTGCCCACGCCTACGGAGCGACTGAAGGGTGGGAAAATGTCAGAGGATGCGTTCGCAAACGCGACAAAAGGACGAATGCTGCCGCGAGGATCCAAGTCGCTACAGCTGTGACACGGTTTGTGACAGCCTATACAGGTTGTCTCAGAATAAGTGCCACAGCCCTAGCGGCTCGGATCCTCGCGACAGCCTTGCTTGCCTTGTGCTGCGGCTTCAGTTGCCCTCATCGCTAATGGGTGTATGTCAATAGGCGCGATTCTTACTGCCAACTGGGCAGCAAATAGCATTTATTTAGCGTTTTATAACGTTATGGAAGTACTTTAGAATCTAAAAGAGATATATTAGATGGTTGCACGAGATTTCCAGTCTTACTATTTTACATTCGAATCCAAATAAAAAAGTCAAAAATTCAACTCATAAAATTGCAATCAATGACAAGTTGTGATTATTTTGGACAGATTTTGTATAAAAGCCGTCAATTTCAGTAGTAGTAGCCCCAAGTAGGTAGTAAAATATACTTTGTTTGGTGCTTTTTTTGAGATCTGCGTAGCACTAGACCTCAGTTTTGAGTTGGTGACAGCGGGAGAAATCGCGCCTCTTGACCATCTCCCATCGCTAATCAGGGGTGTAAAAATATCCGGAGGGTATGTGCGCGAACACTGCGAAGGGCGTAGCGAGGCTACGACGACCTAAGCCGCTACAGCGTGACACTCATATTGAAAAAGCCCAAGCTACTTTTCAAGTGCAGCCGATTTATCTGTCAGCTTCGATTTTTCTTTTATCTCAGAACTGATTCGAAGACTTGACGAAAAAACGAAAAGAAGACAAGACGAAAAAATAGACGAAATAAAAAACCTGGACGAGCGAGTGCTTGCGTTTTGGGAAACATTCAGATCCTTCTCACCATCAGCGATGTCTTGCATTCCAGGAATGGCGTTTCCCTATAAAGAATATATTTGTTTTGAATTACTTGAGCGTTTTGTTAACAAAGAAGCTATTGGTAAGTGACTCACTTGTCTATCATGCTGTTTCAGAGCAGCATCTAGTAGCTGTCGTGCTACAAGCAGGGATGGCATGTGATCTTGAAGGAGATCACTTTCTTGTAGTCGATTTTTTACTGAATCGAATGAAGAAATTAGCTGAAAAGGATGTGGATTTACTTTATATAATCTACTAAAGCTAGAAAGAACTATTCTAACATAAAAGTCATCAATAAACAAAGTATCGATCATAACGTAGGGAAACATGAAACTATGAAATATTGCGCACCTTAGCAATGTCCTCTCTTTTCGCATCTTTTCCCTGTTTAGTAATCTCATCCAATGCAGATGCGAAAGAGGTAAGCCAATCATACAACTCCTCATCCAACCAATACAATTCACTTAGTGACATTACAAGTTCAATTAGGGAGGAATCCTTCCTGAAACAAGCAATATCTTATAAAAAACAAAACAAAAAACAAAACACCACTGTTTTCAAAGCGGGTAAATAAGTACCAAAGGAGTTTACCATCTTAATTTGTTGCGGGTGGAGAAACAAATGTTAGTGTCAGGCTTCGGGCATAGTTTACGCGATCTTATCGCCTCGCGAATCTCCCCACTAGAAAACTATGAAGAGGTGCATTGCATGCCGATCCTTCCGCATCTCGGTAGTGACAGTAACCAAATTGCAAGGTGCGATATGCA